CGCCCGCCCGCCGCAGCGCCGGCCCAGCGGCCGCCGCCCCAACCATGGAGCAAGACAACAGCCCGCGGAAGATCCAGTTCACGGTCCCGCTGCTGGAGCCGCACCTTGACCCCGAGGCGGCGGAGCAGGTGCGGAGCAGGGCGGGGTGGCAGGGGACTCGCCCAGCAACGGACGACGGACCCCTGGGCTGTGGGATCTGAGAAACCCGCTTCGTCCGCCCTTCGCAGGGCGCCCCTGTGAGGACGACCGCGATCGGTTTGGGGGTCTTCTCTCCCCTCCCCCACCGCTGGAGCCACATCCCCGTCTGTGCGAGGGCGAGCGCCTCCACTCGAAGCCTGTCCCCCGCGGAGGGTCGCTCTCTGCCTCCCAGGCCTGGGGGAGGGGGCCTGCCTGAGGACACGACCCCTACCCCCCTTCCCCAGGCTTGCATCCCCCACCCACTCAACCCCCCTCCCCACGCAGAGTTTCTGAGCTCGGTGGGGGCGCCGAAGGGTACGGCAGCCTTGCGGGAGGGGTTCGGGGCGGGGGTGGGGTTGGGGGCGAGAAGGTAGGTAATGGAGGGACCCTGGTGCTGTCGAAAGGAGTTGAAAGAAGAGAAATCGCCTCCCTGGTCCTCCCCTAACTGAAGGCTACCTTGTCTGACCCCAGAGAGTGAGAAGAAGAAGGAGCTGGGGAAAACCGAAAGGGCTGGGGCTTTGGGGAGAGGGGTGGACGGGTCCAGAGGCCGAGGTTCCCCTCTTCTGCATGTCTGGACACGTGGGTCCCTAGTCCCAACTCCTGCCCTTTGGACCAGGGAGTGGGGTGGCATGGAGAGAATGGTACCGGCAAGCCAGAGGCAGGGGCTTTCTGGGGGCTGGGTGCAAGGGACCCCCTGTGCAAGGGAGCAGCACTGTGCTGGCCTTGGCTCAGTGGGTGGGAGTCCAAGGCCCTGGCCCAGCCCAGGGCCTGATCTATTTTTAGCTCGGAGCCGCCTGGCAGAGGTAGCAGTGGATGAGAGTGTGTGAGCAAGTGTGTGTCTCAGGGAGAGTGAGCATGTGTGTGGAGAGGGTGACCACCCGTGGTCACTACTACCGCCCATTTACCAAATATTTGCTCATTTGCTCATTGCTCCACCTCTTTCTGTGTTCTCTGTCCATTTCCCTGGACATCCCTGTTCCTAAGGAATATCCACTGGCCACAAGGTCAGTTCTCCATTCCCCCCAACCGGCTCCCAGGGCTCTGGCTGGGCCTCCCCACCTGAAAAAAACTGTGACCTCTTGGGATGGGCTGGAGAGAGATGTCCTCTGTCTTGCTTTGGTGGAATAAGGTCAGGGTGTGAAGGGAAGGGTCGGGACACACACTCTCCCTGTAACTTCAGCTTCCCAAAGTGTGGGCAGGGGTGAGGAACCTGCCCCCGCCCCCTCTCCCTGGCCTGGGGGGAGCCGCCTCTCCAGACCTCGAAGGGGTGACAGTAGGAGGGACTGTGGGGAGACCTCAGGCCTGGTGAGGATGAGGAGGGTGGAGAGCCCGAGCTTGGGGAGTGTTCCCCCAGAGTCAGGGGCAAGACTGTTATGCCCGGAGGCAGGGGACTGGCTAAGATAACCTCAGACTCAGAAGAAAGGCCCCATGAGTATGGGCTGGGGGGGGGTTAGGGGTGAAGTGACAAGAAGGACTGCCTCCCACCGGCATAGACAGGTCTCACTGCCTGACACCTGCATCTGTTTGGTGTTCGAGAAGGCAGGTGTCGGTGTGTGTTGGGAGGAGGAGGGGGTAGGCCAGCTGGTTCAGGGGTCAGGAAACAGAGGAGGAGGAGAAGACAGTGGTAAGGAGCCAGAGTGAAAAAAGAGCTGGGACTTCTGCCTGCTTTTCTCTAATATTCCAAAATTGGTGTCCACTAGACCTGAAATTCTACCTGCATTCTAACCTCGGCCCCTCTTGCTGTGTTGCCCAAGTGTGTTACCCAATCAAAAAGCTCCAGGCGTGGCAGGAGCTCCTAATCCAGATGGACATGGAAGAGCAAAGGGGGTTAGAAGCTATGAGTTATGGAGCATAGAATGGCAGGGGATGGAGGGGTGCCCACAACTACCAGGTCTTTGGCATGACTGGTTTGGCCCCAAATCAGAGGCAAAGGCACCAGGTGCCCTTGAGCACTAGAATTTGAGATAGGTGCAAGAGAAAGAAGAGAGATGATCTGTTCATTTCCCAGTAGTTCAGGTGCCTGGGAGGTGCTTTAGGAAGGCTGACCTGACTCCCTTCTGCTATAGGATATCAAAATTCTCAAAGACTCTGAGTGCCTAGAAATCTTGTCCAAGGCAAAGAAATGGGCTAAGGGACCTGTCCAACATCACAGAGCCCTGCTGCGCTCTCAAAGGCCCTTTCTGACGTGCTTGTGGTCCCTTCTCAGGATCCCAACTTCCACTAACACCCCCACCCTCTCCCTGTCTCTCTGACTCCTCCACAGCCAGCATGCCCCCTCCACCCACAGCAGGAAAGAAAGAAAAGGGAGTCCTCCCCTAGGGAAGGGATGGCCCTCACCCCGCAGATGTGATGCCAACGTGCCCGCCTGCTGGTGCCCCGCACCTCTGCATCAGGAACGGCCAGACCGACTCACAACTAATGTTTGTGTAGTGCCGATGTGTATGCGCACGTGTGCACACACACACACACACACAGGACTGCCAGGGACCTTGAAATGTCACCCCAAACAGATGTCGCTGGAATCTCCAGAGAAAACAATGACCTACCCCAGCGTACCCCCCGTTGTACGCATCCCATTTCTTTAGGGAGAGTCCCCCTCTCAGACTAACACTGTGCCTCTTGCTAGGGCTGATACCCACTTTCTGGGCATAGAGAAGGGCAGGAGTCTTACCCCACCCCCAAGGGTAGTGATACTAAATAATGGGACACAGAAAAGAGAGGAATTTGATCCTTCAGGGTCCTCACCCTACTACTCTCAGCCCTGGATAATTTTAGCCCCTTTCCCAGCCCCTTTAGCCTTCCCTCCTCTCTTCTGCCCTGGAGGGAGCTGCAGGGACTCCAGCCCCACGGGTCCCCTCACTTCCAATCCTCTAAACCCTCCAGAGAAAGGGGAAAAAAACCACATGTCCCAGGAGTCCTTGGACTGACTTCAACAGCAATCAACTTTATTGGCAGCATGGACAAAAGAACAGCAACCGCCCAGCGGACGTCCGCTTTTATATGTTAATTTCTTAGACTTGGACCCTGGAGTCCAGGGTAAGACTTTTCAGTAACTTTAGGCCCTGACTAGACTCCTGCTAGTATTTTATTTACCATGACGAGGATTTCCCCAGACCACATTTCCTGACAAATTAGAAAGGTAGTGTGTCCCAAGATAGGGAGGACTTTGGGGAATAAAGCCAGCTCGTGGGCCAGAGAAATGCACCTTCAGCCCTACCTTCCCTGAGCCGTCCACCCAGGCTGGGTGGGGACTGAGGGGTGCTCTCCACCGATGCCGGCACACCAAAGGTTAATGTCTGTTTTGGGGGGGTGGGCTGGACCACTGAGGGAAAAGCCTTGGCCCTCTCGGGTTATTTCTGACCATTGGTCAGGATGGACAGAAGGACAGCAAGCCGGAGATCCATGCATGAGAGCAGATAGAGCTGCTGAGACGGAGCGCTAGGGAGATGCAGAAACAGAAAGGGGGGTGGGGGGTCTTTTGGGTCCCCAAGGGGGAGGGGTGGGCCCAGGAATGTCCATCTTGGGATGGTAGGTTCCGTGTAATGGGGCATTTTTTGAGGGATAGTAAGCGGGGATTATGTTGCTGAGTGGGATTGGGTGGGGCTTCGATGCTTCCACGTGCACTTGACCTCTTCCCTCAGATCCGGAGGCGCCGCCCCACGCCTGCCACCCTCGTGCTGACCAGCGACCAGTCCTCCCCAGGTAACCCCAGGGATGGGTCGCTGAAGGGCGTGGGGGCTGCTGAGGACAGCCGGGTCCAGTGAGAGAAGGCGGGCGCCGGCTAGAGGGCCGATCAGAGGAGTCAGAGAGAGCTAGCTCCTCAGCCCTGGGGTCGGGAAAGCGGTGGCTGCAGTCGCAGGAGGATTTCCTTTGCTTTGGCAAGATGGAGCAGTGCTGGGGCAGGGGAGGGAGAGCACCTGGCTCCTAAGCCCCCCCAGGAATTGGGGTGGTCAACTGAGTGCCGGTTGCTATGGCAACAGCCTTCCAGGTTTCTCCAGCAACTGAGATGCTGCGGCCCCCACCCCCAGAGGCAGTGACAGCTGTGAGGGGGAGGGACCGCCTCCATCAGCCCTCTTCCCAGCCCCCAGAGGGGAAAGCGAAGGTCAGACGCTGCTCAGGGAGCAGCTGGTATTCCGATCACCCGCATGCCCAACGAGGCCTGGGGAGAGAACCAGGTCTCCGAGAGTATGGGGGAGCTTGCCAGGACAGGGGCAGAGAGGTGGTCATGCTCATAAGCCAGCCTGGAGTTCAGGATGCCTGAGCCTCCGGCCTGCACCCAGCTACCAAAAAGGATTGTACGTCCCTGCACGGGATAAACTTGCTGTTCTTTATCCGGGATTCCCTCCCATGCAGGGTTCAGTTTTGGACCTGGGGCGGGGACAGTGGTTGGGAGGAGAGGGAGGAAAAGAGCCAAAGGACCACAGATCCTTCTTCAGGAATCTCCAGGTCTGAGGCAAAGATGTAGACAGAGATTGACCACAGAGTCAAGGACAGGACTCCGTGCGGGGAAGAAAGCAGGGCAGGAGGGAGCCTGAAGGGAGCGGGCCTGGGGCAGCCATCAGGGCCATCTTCGTAGGGGCAGATCAGAAAAGAGGTGATTGCCGAGGCTCCTCCCCTTGGGAAGTCAGCTCTGTAGGGACCCCTGAGTTTTCAGTCCTCTTCACTTTCTCCTTTCCCTGTTCCCCTCAGAGATAGATGAAGACCGGATCCCCAACCCGCTTCTCAAGGTGAGCTGGTCCCTCTCACTCAGCAAAGCCCAGAGAACCCAATGACTCCTCAGGGGATTCTTCCTCAGCCCCCACCCAATCTGAAGGGCCTTTTGACTCCCTCTCCTCTGCATCCCCTCAAAGGAGCACGAGCGGACACACACACACACACATACACACACACCGTATCCCCCAAGCCCAGTCTCCTTGCTCACCATTGTGTGGGGGAGGGGAGCGGCTGGGAAGCAGGAAATTTCGCCCCCCACTTTCTGAAGCCCACAACTGACCCCCAGTCTCCAATCCAAAAGCATGGCAAGGCTCAGAAGGCGGGGGAGAAGGGCTGGCCCCCCACCTGTGCTCTGTGTCCTTTACAGTCCACGTTGGCCATGTCTCCACGGCAACGGAAGAAGGTGACGAGGACCACACCCACGATGAAAGGTTAGGAAGACCCCCCCTTCCCGTCCCTTCCTTCCCCTCTGTGCCTGAGGCGGAGCAGTGGACCTAATGACCCCTTTGGAGGGAATCCTTGGGAAGTCCTTAAAGCTGCCTTTATTATAGTCGGATTGTTGCTAGACAGTCTGGGCTGCCTCTGACTAGCTGGGAGGCCTGGGGGAACCTGCCTCACCTACTGAGCCCTGAGTACCCCCTCACTATGGCAGCTAACTAGAATATGGAGTGCTCACCACACAGAAGGTACTCGAGTATTTCTTGAATCTAAATGGAGTCTTTCCTCTTGCCCCCACGGGAGATGGAGTATCCCAGCGAGTCAGGAAGATCTTTGGTTCCTGAAGGCCCTGCCCCTCCCCTCCCTTACTTTTGAAGGAAATAGGTTTTATTGTGTAGCTTTAGGACCTCCCTGTTGCCCAGCAGATATACACACACACACACACGCACACACACACACACACACACACACACCCCGCCCAGTTCAGATCTTAGAGGATGGAAAAGTCAGGCCGGCAATGTCCGACGGCCCTTCAGTGGGGCTGTGGAATTGGAGAGTCCACAGAGGAGACTCTGATCAGTCATGTCCCTCTCTTTCTCTGTGCCCCCAGAGCTCCAGATGATGGTTGAACATCACCTGGGGCAACAGCAGCAGGGAGAGGAACCTGAGGGAGCCGCTGAGAGCACAGGGGCCCAGGAGCCCTGCCCACCTGGGATCACAGACACAGAAGCGGAGTTAAGGCTGGGCACATCTGGGAAAGCACAAAGTACGTTCAGGCTGGGGAGGGACTGGCCCAGGAGGAGGCAGACCTTACCCATCATGGGGAGGGGTCTAATCGTAGCCAGAAACTGTCTTAAGAATATGGATGTATTTATATGTACTGCACGTATTTGCCTGTGTGCCCCTTTCCTTGCTGAATGACCACAGCCCCTCCCAGCTCGAGCCGCAGAGCTCCCTGCTGGAAGGTGCGAGCCCACTGTAATGGGAACAGCACTCACAGGCTAGAATCCTGGCTCTGTCACTTTAGCAGCCCAGAGGCCTCCAGCAACTTCCTTAACCTCAGTCTGTAAAATGATAACGATGATGCCTCTGGCCTTGGGTTGTTTGTGAAAGTAAAATGAGACCAGTTCTTAGCCCAGCAGCTGACACATACAAAGCAGGCAATAAATGGGAAGTGCTGTTACCACCTGCCCACAGTCCCTGATCCCACGTGGATTCCAGAATCCAGAGTTCTTCCAACTACATGAAGGTGACATGGTACACACACTGCGTATTACGTAACACCCCAGCAGAGCGCCCTGTAATCAAACACATTAATATTTCTGCAGTGAACTGAATGGTCCCACTAAATGGGATAAATAAAGACTACAGATAGTCCCATACGAGGTCAGGTTTAGCCAAATTGTACCCAAACTTTTTTTCACTCTCCTTTGAAGGTTTTTTTTTTTTCTAATTTCTGATTGCAAATTAAAAAAATAATAATAATAATGACCCTGTAGTCATAGTTGTGATTAGAGAAGACACCACTGGTCCTGTCCGATTGCCCCCAGCCTGGTACTTGGGCTGTCTCTGGGGTCACTGGAGCATCAGATGGGGTAAGAAGAGCAGCAACCTCTGCCAGCCTTCATGAATACTGCCTTTCCCTCCCACCGCCCACTTTCCCTCCTTAGAGCCTGCAGAACCCATCCCTAAGGCTCAGGAGAGGGGCAGTGAGAAACCCAGCACAGAGGAGCCCACAACCCATATACCACCACTGGATTCCCAGGGAGCCAACTCGGTAAGAGCCCAGGGCTGGGTGGCCTGGTCTCCAGGAGAGCAGGCCATGTGGATACGGGCAAGGACTAAGATCTGGAATCAGGGAAAGGGGGAACAAAGGACCAGCTCCAGTCACTGAAAAGCTGTCGTCTCAGGCAAGAAGATTTGGGGGTATTACGTATCCACGGACAAAGAGAAATGGGATGAAGCCGCAGGACGACGGACTGGGGTTGGGCTCAGTACTAGGGTTTCTGGCTCCTGGAATGGGTGATGGCAGTCCGCCATCGGCTTTCTGAGAAAAGGTGTTTGGAACCCAAAGGGAGATCCTCATGTCCTGCCTGGAGCGGAGGCATTGATGAGATAGCCTCGCGGGCTTTGGTCTTACAGTTCCCCCTCACTGCGTGGGTGGGACACATGGGGGGACTGATGTGGGACATCAGAGGTTAGACACTTGACAACGGGCAGAGCAGCAAGGGTGGGGACAGGGGGCCCTCTGGTCTCTCACTCGCCCTCTCTTTCTGCCCCTCCCCCACAACAGGTCTGAGAGTGAAGGAGGTATCCTGGAATGGAGACTGCAGTTGGGAATGCATGGACACTGGATCTGTTTCTTATTCTTCACTTTTAGGGAAAATCTCTTGTTTTTAAAAAGTGATAAATTTGGTGTTAGGTCCTCAGTATTTTCCTTCTTTCCTGGTTTGGAGAATCCTTTCTCCCTCCCTTCTTGTCCTGCCCTCTCAGCAGCCCCCTGTCCTTCTGCCCAGCTGGTCTGGAAAGGAGGAAATTGGGAAGCTGGGCTGGAGCCTTAAGAAGGGGGTTGGGGGTGGGGAGAGTTCTCTCCCCCAACCCTGCCCCTACCTGTTGTGGCAAGAAAGATGGGGGTCAGACAGGTGTAAGGACTAACTTCCAGGGCACCAAGAAGGAAGGAAAGGCCTGGGTTCTCTTCTCTTAATTGAGGAAAAGATACCAGCACACGGCAGGCCTGCCCTGCAGCCGGGTGAGACTTGGGAGTTCTAAGGCCGGTCCAGCTGTGCCTGTCCTGTGGCCGCCGCCTGCTGGACAAGGGGTGGGGGGGAACTGCACCCTGGCCCTTGGCCCAAGGGGAAGAGGGGATGCTGTGTGGATGCCTCCTTGTCCTCCAAGCCTCAGTGAGTCCCAGGCTTCAGAATATGGTCCCTCCTCCAGCTATGAGACCACCGCCCCTATTCCAACCCAGTAGCAAAGATAGGTTGAGAACACAGTGGCTATTAACAAAGAGGCCCTGGCTGGGAGCCAGAAAGATCAGCTCTCTCCCTGGTCTGAGACTCGGAGGGGCCAGGGCAAAAGACAAAAACCCAGCACAGGTGAAGAAGCTTCCATGGCCAGCCAGGCCTCTCCTGCCCGCTGCTTTTGATTTTTCCAGGTGGTGGAGTGGGGAGGGGAGGAGGGAAGGCAAGACTCGCCCTTCCTTACTGAAGAAGCACTTTGGTAGAGAGAAAGAGCCTCAGGAGTCCCACTCCTGCCATCCCTACTGTGTGCCCTCAGTCAAGACCTCCCCTCTCTGGGCCCAGCCTCCCCACCCACATACATAGTAGGGAGAACACCACACCAGGATTTTTTCGAGCTTGAAAGAGACGGTGTATGTGAAGATGCTCGGTGGACTTCCATCCAGCGAACACGAAACACAGCCAGGCCTGGTCTCCCTTCTTTATTGATCTCTGGCTATAGCAGGGTTCTGGGAGACCAAGGGCAGGGGTGAGTCACATGCGTCTCTGCCCCACTTGGGGTGGGGTAGGAGGGACAAGTGTCAAGGTGGCAGGTCTAAGAGACCATGGATATGGACTTCACACGAACGGGGCCCACTGTATAAATGCATGGTTGGTATTTACAGGATAGGAGGAGGGCAGTCGCCTGGACTTGGGCCTTTGCTGGGACAAGGCTGCTCAAGGAGCCTGAGGAGATGGGGCACAGGGCCTGGCGGGCTCTCTTCAGGAACACAACTGCTGCAGCCCTGAGTCCCTGCCATCTGCCTCCACCCGCCACTCCCCACTTGTCCCAGGGGAGGGGCCTCTTGGTGCCTGCAGGTGCGCAGGCGCTGAAAGGGGGAGGAGGGGAGGAACCCTCTGATAGCAATGCAGGATTACTGGATTATACCTCACCCTCACGTGCACCCTTGGCCCCAACCCCGCTGGTCTCTCCTGCCGGTGCTCATAAGATGCATCCTGAAGGTGCTTTGCTGGGGAAACCTCAAAGCACTTTACAGACATTGGTCGGATGGGAGCCTCCCAGCCCCAGGGGAGAGGAAGGAGGCAAAGGGCTCAGGACAGCCAGGGTAGGTGACAAACCCCAGGGGCCTAGACCAACCCCAAATTCTTGCGGACCCCAGGAAAGGCCTCCTCTCTTCCCCTAGTCGACATTTCAGAATAGGAGGGAAGGAAGAATGGGGTGGGGCGGGGAGGCTGGGGATGGCGCTGAAGCAGTGTAGGTCTGGGGTAAAGAGAACACCCCCCGCATTCCCAGGCCCTAGAAAGGTCCCATGCCCTGAAGAAGCCCACTCCCCTCTCCACACTCAGGGCTCTGAAAACCCCCAGCTTTCTATCCTATTCCAGCCCCTCCCAGGGGAAGAAAAGGGGGACCCAGACCTGCCAGCTAAGATCTGGGGGGAGCTGAGGGAACCCCCCAAAATGTATTGCTTAGAAACTTGGAGGCAAAAAGGATGGGGGAGGGCCCAGGGGCTGGCATCTCTGACCCTCCCCCCTGGGCCCTGGGAGGCCTCCAAGAAGCTCCCCACTCCCAGCCAGCCATCTGGCCTCGGGATGGGGGCAGGGGGAGGGGTGGGGGGAGTCCAGAGGCAGGGGGATGGGCACAGTGACCACTGGGAGCCTGATGTTCCCCAGACTTCCTGCTGGGAGATTAAAGTGCGCCCCAATGGGTGTCGGGTGGGGAGGGGCCCTTCCCCCAACCCCACAATCTCTGGCATTTGGCCTTCGGGTGGGTTGTCTGTTCCTCAACCTCCATGCTCCCTTGGAGCAGATGGGGGAGCCGGTCCCGATGGATGGTGCTGATGACATCAAACACTTTGGACTCATTGAGGACCTGGGAAAGAGGGAGAGGTCTCAGTGCTCCGATCTTTGCCTTATCTCCAGCCTGACTTACCTTCTTCAAGTCCCGCCAGAACCCCCACTTGGTCCCACATACAGTTGTGCAAAAAATGCCTGCAGAGGGTGCCCAGCCAAGGGGGGCGGGGGGGCTGCTATCGAAGTCATGCGCAACTGACCTCACAGAGTCCTGCGTCCTGGCCGGGCCCTGCTCCCCGGGCCTCACAAAGGTGCTAGAGAGGCTGGCTACGGCCTTGCTCAGGCCCTCCCTGTTCTGAGGAGCCACCTCCTTCCTTCCTGCTGGGACTGGACGGGAGGGGTGGAAAAACTTCCCTGCTTCCCACTCACGCCCTGGCCCAATTATATGTTCATTTCCTCCATTTTCCTCCCTTGGAAGAGGGAGGGAGAACCTCATATCCACTGAACCCCAGCGATGACCCTTCAAAGTTGCCACGTCGGACACCCAGCTCTTTCTACTCCCTACAGAATCTCAAGATCCTTCCCCCTCCACCACACAGGCTCACCTGGGCCAGCCCCAGGCTAGTCCAGATTCCCATTCTGGTTGTGTTCATCTTCAGCAGGGGAGGGCAGGGCCTCTTCCTCACAAGGGGACAGTTCGTCAATGGACATCTGGTTGGTGACGCCTGCAAAGGGGCATTTACGAAGTTGGGACCAAACCAAGAAATATTTTTCCCCAGAACACCAGGAACATGCAGAGAAAGGTAAAGCATTCTCATGCATCCTCCTGCCTTCAAGATGAGCTACATTCAACTCATGCCAACTTAGGGAGAGCCTCTCCAGCCTTCCTCCCCAGCCTTGCTAAAATTCACAACCCTCAACTCACTCATAATGGAAGAGATTTCCCAGCCAAGGCCACCAAGTTACCCAAATCTACTGGGGCACCATTTACAGACCACAATATGCGTGGGGTCCCTTGGGCTGTGGAATATGGCTGTTCCTATCTCCTCTCCTGTCCCTGTTCTAGAACAGTCCGGGCCAATCAGCTAGACAGTCTTTCCTGTGATCTTACTTTAGTCTGATCAGTTCCATTCTCAACTCTTGAGAGTCAAACAAAGGGTTGCTCCAGGGGTTTAAGGAAAATGGACCTGCTACTGCTCCATCAGCCACCCTCCCCATAAGCCCTCATCCCCCACCCCTACCCCCCTGGGTCCAACGGCACCCACCACTTGCTGCCCGTTCCTTCCATTTCTGCTTGTTCTCCTGAATGTATTTGGTCCAGGTAGAGCGGAAGCTGACCACATCAGGGTTGGGGTCTCCCACTTCCACATCCAGAGAAGGCTGGCGCCACTGGAAACTAAAGCAGGCCCCCCCAACTCCAGAGGTGAGACCCAGCCCACTCCAGAACTGCCTTCACAGCCCTCAGAGTGGCGTGGGGATGGAAGACCAGGAGGAGGCTTAGGGAGACTTATCCTTCCCCTTTCCCTCTGCTGGGTACCCCCAAGTCCGTGCCCCTTTTCCCTCAATTTCACCCCTTCCTTTCCACACCTTCCCTCCTACTTAGAAGGAAAATAAAAACGAGATTAGCAGAAAGGCAATAAAGATAGAGCTAACGAAAAATGGGTGGAGGGGACCACAGGGGCAGGTCACACCCTTCTGGTCCCATCCTTCCACCCCTGTGTGTGACGTGCAGCAGAGACTCCCGAGTTTTGGGTAGCCTGCTTCTCCACCACCCCGAGGGAGTGATCAGTGCTCTCTGTGAGTCCCTCTTCCCTCCCCCAGAACCAGGGGACCTGGCTACCCCAGCCACCCTCACCTGGGCTGGTTCTTAGACTTGGAGTCCTCATCCACCAGGGGCTGGACACTCTTCTCGGCCACATCAGTCAGCACAGAGAAGGTGGGCTCCACGATGAAGTCAATGAACCCTGCGGTGAAGGGGGAACACAATGGAGAGGTCCCACCCGGAGGGCTGGGCAGAGGGCCCTGCATGGCTGGAACCCCCAGCTATAGGTAAGACAGGGTGACCCAGGCTGAAAAGTTCCCGGTGGGGACAGCCTTTGCAACGATGTCTTTGTGACCCCACCTTTGCACCCCCAGGCCTTCCACCCAGGACCCCATGCCCAGCACAGGCTCACTCCACAGGCAGACTGGTTTTGAGGGATGGAGACTCAGAGAGCCCTGGCCCCGGCCCAGAAAGCATCCTGGCCCCTTCCCAGGACTCTCCGCCCAACAGGAAAGGCCACTCACCGATCTGCGACTGTGCCACCAGAGTGGACGTCCGATCACACAGGGGAGAAAAGGGCAGGCCCAGCTCTGCCTCCTTGTCGCCCTGAAGGGGAAGAGAGGGCGGGAAAGCTGGAGGGGGTGTCTCAGACTACCGGGGGCCGGAGTGCAGCTGGGGGCGGTCCGGGGTTGTTGTGGGAGAAGAGGAATTTCGGTGCCCTTGACCTGGAAATGGTCATGGTATGCAAATGGAATGCAACCACAGTTAAGCTTTTAGGAAAATGACCTCTGATCCCAGGGCTTCAGGATCAGGGCAGAAGCCGCAGGGAGCTGAATGAAGATCTGGAAGCGGAGTGGGCACCTGGAGAACAAAGGGGAAGGAGGGCAGGGGTGGGTTACCTGGCGGAAGAACTCCTCCATGAGGGCCTTGGTCCAGCGGCTGTGAACCGACCAGTGCTTGGTTGGGTGGCTGATGTCGGCAGCATGGAGCAGTAGAGACAGGGCCTTGGACTTGTCAATCCTGGTCAGAGCGGGTGGAAAGGGAAGGGAGACTGATCCTTCAGGAGAAGGAAACCTGGACCATTCCTAACTTCCCATCACAAGCCCTCAGCGCCTTGCAGGGAACTTCCGCCAGCCCCTGAGGCAACGCGCACGCGCACACGCACATAGGGGCGCACCCACGCGCCCGTAAGTGTGGAAGCAGCCCAAGCTCTTAGAATCAGAGGCCACGGGTTCAAATCCCCTCTGGACCTATCACACACTAGCTGTGTGACACACAGCAAGTTACTTAAAATTTCCATATCCCACTTTCCTCAACCCTAACAGGAAATACTAACAGAATCTGCCACATGGGGTTGTTCTGAAAATTAAATGACACACAACATTCAAGTATTTAGTAGAGTGTCTGGCACACAGTAAGTGCTGAGGAGATGTTATCTATAATCATCATCATCATCATTATTATTATAAGTATTATCATTCCCCAACAAGGCCACATTGCACGCTGTCCCCCACAGAGACACTGTACATGAACACACACCTTCAGGACCCCCGCACACAGTCTCTTCTCTCTCACACACATTCATATCCTTCCACCTACTTTTAAGCAACTGTCAATGTAATCGTGGCATTTGTTCTGTGGTTTTTTTTCTTTAACCTCACATGACTCTCTCACTAGCCCTATTCACGTAGGACCCGGTGGCAAGCCGTGGCAGGGAGGCCTCTCATTCTCACACGGCACAGACAAGGAAACGAGTCCAGAAAGGTTGCATGATTTTCCCAACATTCCAGGGTCGGGCTGTCCTGCGGCAGCAGTGAGAACACCTGTTTCAGACTCCCGGCCCGGTGTGCCCTCCAGCAGACCCGCAGCCCGGGCCGGATGCAAACCCAGGCCCGTGTGCACACGTCACACACACACACACACACACACCCCTCCGTGGAGATGGACTCAGACACCTGGAGCTAGGAGAGTTTCTACATCTGGCCACACCAGCTACCCATGCATGTGCCCCCGATTCACACAGCCCTCACTCTGGCCTCGCCCTGGCCACACCCCACCAGGTGCCACCTCTCCAGCTGCTGCAAGGCTGTCTTCATGCACTTCACTTGCTGGAAATGGCAGGACATGTCCGTGGCCAACACCATCTCGATGACCAGGGCCCGTAGCTCTCTGGATGGACAGAACCAGAAAAGCGATCAGCCCTCACAGCACCGATGGGCCGCAGGTCCAGGGAGTGGGAAGAGAGGGTCAGGGTGAAGGGGGGTCTCTTCGGGATGCCCACTCCCGCCTTCAGCTCACACAAACTCATCCTTGGTGAGGTTGATGAAAATGTTCATCTCATCATCCTGCATTATTCGGAAGACAGAGCTAATGTGGTGATTCTCCAGCACTGAGCGATCATTGTACAAGATGGCACATTCCGACCTGCAAAGCCAAGGGTCATTGCGTCCAGCCCCCTGTAAGTGGGGACTCTGGCAACCTCCCCCACTCCCGCTGGGCCCCTCCTGCCCCGGCCACATTGGCACCCCTCACTTGGTCTGGATGTGGAAGCTGTTCGTAGTGCCTGTGTGCTCATAGTCGTGGATGGCTGCAGCGAAGATGATGGCTAAGACCTCGATCTCCGACAGGCAATGCTGGGAGAGAGAGACAGGATGACAGGGGGCTCACCCTGCCCTTCACTGCCCAAAGACCTCCACCCCAGGCTACACCCCTCAGCCCAGCCCTTCCGTTCTTCAAGGCCAGCTCCTGGGCTAAGATGGCCAGGTTTCTCAGCTGCCAGAATGGTGAAATACACCCCGTATCCCAACCTGAAACATTCCTGCTGTATCCCAGCACACATTCCCAGTGCTGCCCATGACGTTATGGTCCACCCAGGAATTCTCTGGAGTGAGTAAAATTTGACTCTGTAAAGACTTTGGGATACCAATGGAGAGGAACCAAAAGAGACAAAGGGAAATGGGAGTATAATCTAGATTTCCCAGTTCTGCAGCCATAAGACCCTAAATCACAGAAGAATGATCTCCCAGCACCTACCACCATCCCTGTGCGGAGCAAGAAGCAATGGACTGTCTGGGTAACATCAGCTGCGTGGATCTGGTTGTGGTAAGGGTTCTTGTACTTCCCATAGCCTGTCTCCAGTGCATCCAGGAAAGTCATCAAAAACACAGTGGGAATCTGCAGTGGGAGGGAGAAAATCGAGCTGCAGGGAGGATCTGCAGGAATGGCAGGCGGCCGAGGACAGATCAGCAACGCCATCTTTCTTTAGAAGGCAGCATGGTGCAGGGAGAAAAGCACGGGCTCTGCTGTCAGGTGGACCTGGGCTCACATCCTGGCTCCGCCCCCTGCTGGCTGTGTGACCCTGGGTAAGTCACGTGCCTCTGATACTTAATGGCAGAATGAAGATAATACCACCTCCTTGAATGTAATGAGATAAGTACAAGGCACTTAGTCAGTGCTCTCTACAGAGTAGCTATAATTATTATTATTTCCCTGGAGCTCTTTAAGAAAAGAAAACTTCCCTCCTATCTTCCAACCACCCCATCCCATCCCCAGTCCAATCTCAAGGGGTTCAGAAGCAGAGGAAAGAGTAAGACGACCTAGAGAGGACCCTTGCAGGCAGACATGGGTCACCCCCTCTAAGAAGGCTTTCTCTGCGCCCACCACAACACACACACACACACGTACACACACACAAGCACCACAACTGTCAGTTGTCTCTGTATATGCCCTTGCAGTCTGTCTGCCTCCTTCAAAGGCTCAGGCTCCCAGAGGGCAGGGCTGGTGTCTGTGAGGAGAGCGAGGTTCAGGACTTGGGGAAGCTTCTGTAGAGATGAGCAATAGTGATGAGACACAGAAGATGTGCCACTAGTCAGTCAGACCCTAACATCTCCCACCCCCACCCCGGAGGGCTGTGCCCCAAATTCTGGGAATTTTAGAGGACCGTTTCCATGACAACTGCCCTTGCTTCTGCGTTGCCATGGTGTCCCTGGAGGGAAGGGAAGGGACGCAGGGGAGGAGCTGGGTGCCCAAGAAGGGAATGTGGAGCTTGAGAAGGGCGGCTCCAACTGGAATCTCTGCCATAAGTAAAGACTAAAGCAATAAGTGCCCCCCTCTCTCTAACTGCCTTGGAGCAAGGCGAACTGGGGGTGGGCCAAGCCCAACCTGATGCAGTTATTCTTGGGGTCCTCCAAAACCAGTCCTTCCAGGTAAGGAAGCAGAGTTTAGGAGAAGCTGGTGTCTGGAGAATGTCTGAGAATCAGTTTGGAGAAACATGAGCTGGGAAAAGTCTTAGGAAAAGGAGGACCCTGCTGTTCTCTGTCCTGGAGAGGGCAGGACTGGAAGGAAGAAAATGAAGCTGCAGAAGGAGAGGCCTCAGGAAGGCACTGAGGAAAAACCTCAACTGAGCATCTCAGGAAAGTTCTGGAAACCTTCTCGGGAGTTGGTGTAAAATGAGGAGTTTTGTTGGGGAAAGGCTCACATGTACCAATAGTCTATTATGGTAAAGTAGGGGCTGAGGATGGCTGGGTGATCTCCCAAAGCCCTCTGAAAAAGGGCCAAGTGGACCCCTTTGACCTCTCCCATGGCCCACTTGGAACATACATGTTTTCCTCTGCTCTAACATCTATGTCCACCCCCACCTAAGTGCTGACCAAACAGTCCCATTGCGACTCTTCAACCCCTTCACCCTCCACTTCCAAGTGTGGTTTTTCCACATGGAAGTGGTTTTTTCCAGCCCCTCTTCCCAAAAGACACTCCCTCCTGGCCCAGAATCTGGAGAGACTTTAATTCCATATTCTTCATGGCCAGCCAAGCTGAAGAGCAAACGGAGTTCACACACCCTCCCTCCCCTCATACAGCCCTACCCAGCCTTGCCAAGAGCTGATCCTTTCCATAAAACTCCTCCGACAGAGACTCTGAGCTGAGAGGGAAGGGAAGGAGTGACCAATTTTATCCCTTCCTCCCTGCTCCTACACACCCCTCTCCAGGAAACAAATCGAGAGATTCTAGTCCCAAGGGCACAGGCTGACAGCATCTGGACTCTAGGCCTCGCGTGTCCACAGGCAAGAGGCAGGACAGCTGAAACAGGGAGGTGAACTTCGAGCCAGCCTGGAAAGGACAAGTTACAGGAAAGAAGCAAAGCAGGACAGAATAGAATCCTAGGCTGGATGGTTGCAGACCTAGAATCTTCTGGAAAGCAATAAATGAAGTCAGAAGCTCGGGATGGAGCAAGTGACAGAAAGGCTGGGCAGGTGGGCACAGGGAAACTTCCCTGACAGTGAGACTGAGTGAGGGAGTCTGTGCTTGTTGGCAACTGCTTGTTGGCAATCTTTTAGAACAGGAGTGATCGGAGTGGAGAGCCCTGCCCAGGAACAGGGGAAGGATAATGCCCAACCTTAAAGCGGCTGATGAGGTTATGCCGAGTCAGTAACTCAAAAACAATGGTCTTCAGGGCGTGGTCATCTGCTGCCCGGTTCAAGGAAAAGACATCAAAGCACCAGAGGTCCAGGTTCTGTGGAGAAACAACAGACTAGACAGGGAGACTCCCAAGGGGAGCTTCCCAGCGCAGCAAGTGTTGTAGTTAGACTTCAAGGAGGACTTCCCAATGTTTACAGAGACCTGGGAAGCAGGAAAACAAAGACATGGTGACGTGGGCCTTTTTCTTCCCAGGTATCTCTCAGTGCAGGGGAGACAAAAAGACAGGAGTTTGCCTCTGGAGTGGGCAAAATGTTGTTTTGAGGAACATGGGGACGACAGTTAAAAGGGAAGGCAAAAATCACCCCACACAGAGTCTGAAAGTCCCAAACACCATTCCTTCCCCCAATCTTCTCCTCTCTGCCGAAAACCCAGGGCTCACCTTGAGACAGTTGAGGACCACAGTGGAATAGGTGGGGCCCACAGAGGTATACGTTCTCCGGAACATCCTAAGGGCAAACAATGAAAAGAAGCCCACCTATGAAGGTCTGGGAAGTGGGGTCTGATCAGGTGGGGCTGTGGGGATGAGCTCTGGGCGGGGGGGTGGGGGGGCACACCACTGGGAGTCTGGTGGGGTCCCGGAAGCCCAGGGTGTCCGGGAAACGGGGACAAAACTAGAGGCAGAGGGAAGCTGAGCAGGGGCAAGCCTCACCGTTCCACAAAGATCCCAGCCTGCACCGCGTGCACGATGCTCCGGAACTTGGGCTTCTCCTCTGCGCGGCGGCCTTTGGCCCGGGCCTGCTGGGTGAAGGTGGAGGCCAGCCAGTCTCGTACCTCCGAAGGCACGGCATCTGACCGCAGCTCCTGCAGCTCGTCCTCCGTGTCCAAGATTTGCCTGAGGCCCCAGAAGGGGAGTCACAGAAGAAAGACAGCAGGTGCTTCCACAACCTAGGGACGCTGAGCCCAGCCACACCCCACAGCTCAGGAACACTCATGCCAGGTGTCTCCCTTCTCTGACCCTCCCCTTCCTTTCTCTCACTACGTATTTGGTGGTGGTGTTTTTGTTTTGTTTTGTTTTTCTGTCTCTCTGAGGCCTCCACTAATGAAACAGGCCACTATGTGAGGTAGTGAGTGTCCCAACTCTGGAAACGCTCAAGCAGAAAATGGAATAGATACCACATGTCAGGGAAGCTGAGACCAGCAGCACTGTCCAACGGAAATAAAATGCTAGCCACGTAGAAGTAATTTTAAATTGGCCAGTAGCCACATTAAAAAAGTAAAAAGAAACGGGTGAAATTCATTTTAATGAGAAGTTTTCTTTAACCAGATACACCCAAAATAGTATCATTTCAATGTGAAGTCAATACAAAATATAGAGAGATATTTTACATTCCTTTTTCTGTCTTTGAAATCCAGCATGCATGTCGCATGTACATCCATGTCTCAGCTCATACTCGGGCTCAATGGTCACACGTGACCAGCGGCTCCCATGCTGAGCCGGACAGGTCTCAAGGGATTCCCCACTAATGAGAGGGTTAGGACGACATGAGGTTTCTGGTCCCTTCCAGCTCTGAAACAGTCTTCTCTCCTTGATGCCTGTGTTTGTCTCTATCTCTGCAAACCCCTATCTGTTCCTCTGCCCCTTTAACTCTGTGACATTTCCACCTACAGCTCTTCCTCCCTGCTCTGGCCCTATCTCCAGCCTTCCGTCTCACTCCCGCCCCTGATCACAGTGGCTGCCCGGTGTCTTCCTGCATGCACGGGTCTCTCACCGTGTCTCGTCTATGTAGACAGCCTCCAGCAGAGAAGCTGTGTATTCCAGGTTTTTCTTCAGCTCTTCAATGTTTACCTCCCCGTTCTCCAGCTGCTTCACCATGTAGCGCAACCTGTGGGGGGTGGGCACAGATGGCTTGCTTAGGGGCTGCCACCTCGTCAGGAGAGCAGGACCCCCTCTGATAAGGTGCCTCAATCTTCCACAAATCGGTACTCTCTCCGACAGGGAGAAGAATCGCAGCTGGTGTGTTTCATCCCAGACTCTTGCCACCGCCTGTATTAAGTTTATCTACCCCCAAAGTTTAATCCCAGGCTTTTTCTGACTCCACCATCCTCACCTACCTCTGACCTCCCCACACCTCTCTTCAGTCAGTGTTTCCTGAAAACTCTTGTTCAGACTGCCCAGGCCCAGCAGAATGAGGCAGGTACAAGCCCCTGGGTTGATGTTCTGGGAATGATCTGTTTCATAGCCTGAATAACCAAGAGCTGAGACTGCCAATTTCCCCCAGCAGAGTGAGCTGTGGCATCAACAGCAATCAAAAGATGCTTCCATTACATCCGTTGGTCATGGCAGGGAAGAGGGGGGGGGGTACATGTCCACAGCCTCTCTGTCCCTGGCAGGGATGGCGAAAACACAGAACAAAGAGCAATGTGAATGCTCTTGCCTGGCCTCACTCCATTCAGGCAGAGCTAATGGATTATGATTCTAGAATCCATCAACCAGGACAGAGCAGGATTAACCCCTGCCTCCCCGACGCTGTGCCCGAGAGAACCTCTGGCAATGTGTGTCTGTACCCACCCCCTACCTCTGCCCCGCAGCAGCTTCCCCCAGAGACAAAGCGGTGGGGGGATGGGGCCAGGGGTCTCACTTACTCGATGCCCTGCCTGAGGGGACAGTCCCTCATCTTTTGCACTCATGAACGCTGGGGGTCAGTGATGAAGTGGGAGACTTCTTAGAAGTCTGGCGAGTCCAGCCCAGGCAGCCACAAAGCACACAAAACTCTCTTGACTTTGGTGATTCTAAAGAAAGCAATTAAACATTCCCCTCTCACTCTTTCCCCCAGCCCTGCCCTGCCCCACCTAACCCCCAGGTCGGGGTGAAGTGCTGGACGGGACAATTCCCCACTGAGAGGGGCTTCAGTAACCCAAGGTCACCCTATGAGTCAGGGAGGAAAAAAGAATGAGTCAGGGACCAGAGGCTGAAATTAGCATCAATTCCCAGGGATGCCTGCCGGGGAGGGAGAACAATGGTACTCCTGAACAGAAGCAGCTCCAGAATCCTGGGGTCTCAGCAGCTTTGGAATGGGGTGCCGGAAAGAGTCAGCCCCCGGAAGCATCGCGGGCCAACTCTCCCCTCAGGGGCCAGCAGTCCTGCCGGAACAGTCTGAATGCAAACGGGGCAGAAGGGCAAGGGGGGAAATGGGAGGAAAGCAGTTGCGGGGGACACTGCAGCCTCCTCAATGGGTGATCTTCAAACCTCACTTCTGGCCTTCCTGCTGCACCGGCTGCATGTGCAAACGGTGGTTGTTCAACAAGAAAGAAGCCGGCTTCAGTAAAGCTCTGCCCCAGCTAGGGCTTCATTAGGGATGTGGGCTAGAGGCTAAACAACATAATAGGCTTTCCAGCCAATGAGCTGGGAAGGGGGACTGCACCAGCATCTCCCAGAGTGCTGACCCAGAGGTCTTAGAATAAAGAGGTTTGCTCCACCTTTGGGGCCCAGGCACAAACCAGGGCTTCCCTCTCCGGGTCGGTCCCCATGGCCAGGGAGCCTCGGATCTAGGGGTCACACAACCCAAGAAGAAAGAAAAGCCTCTGGTCCCATCTCTCTCCCAGACTCCTACCCCAGCCCTCCTCATCTTCCACATTGGTCAGCCCTTAAGAAAACCCAAAGCTAAACTCACCAAAGTTCTTCTACGCTCTCTCCCGACCCACATCTTGAAACACACATCCCAGCACAGGCTCCCAAAGTGAACAGCCAAGCCCACGGATGCTCATTTGCATGTATTCGCATAATCATTAACAATGCTGCCAGCTCTACATTTTTTTTTTTTTTTTTTTTAGATTTTATTTATTTGACAGAGACAGACACAGCGAGAGAGGGAACACAAGCAGGGGGAGTGGGAGAGGGAGAAGCAGGCTTCCCGCAGAGCAGGGAGGCCGATGCGGGGCTCGATCCCAGGACCCTGGGATCATGACCTGAGCCGAAGGCAGCCGCTCAACCGACTGAGCCACCCAGGCGCCCCCAGCTCTACATTTTAAAAAGCGATTTATCTCAGATCATCCTCACAATGGGCCTAGAGAGAGGGAGGGAGTTGGGAAGAAATGGCCACCCCTATTTCCAATGCAGAAACCAAGGCTCCGGCCACAGTTCTAGGAGGCAGGAATCCTGGATTCAAAGATAACACTTCCTGGCCCTGAGCCCTTGGGCAAGTCACTAATCCTCAATCAGTATCTCTCAAAAGGTGACCTGTAGACCACTGGCATCAGAATTACCTGGAATACTTGTGAAAAATTGAGGTTCTAGGTCTGGGTGCACACCTACTGAACCAGAAGTTCTGAGGGTATGATCCAAGGATCTGCAAACACGTTTAACAAACACCCAGGATATTCTCATGCTCATGGAACTTTGAGAACCTTTCTTTTAGAGCCTCTGTTCCTTCCTCTGTAAAACAGTGAAGATGATGATAAACCACCTGTGAAGGGCTGTTAATAAGAATTATTATTTATTTTATAATTTCTTTTATAAATGAAATAATGTATGCAAAAGGCCTGACGTACAGAGTGGGGTTCTATAAACGTGATGTGAATTGGAATGAACTGACCAGCATCACGCTGGCCCCACCCAACTCACACCTCGTGGCCTTCAAACCAACAAGCGCCTGCCTTCTCCATCCCAAGTCCAGGTAGAGAAGAGTGAGTCTAGTTTGCATGGAGGCTCATGACTGGGAAGCCCCCTAACAGAGAAAATGAGATAATGAAAATGGCCCTGATCTCTCCTTCATAATGACAAACCTCATTTGGGCCACACAACCACCTGAGGGGGGAGGTTAAGTGATTGGCCCAGGGTCACACAACTTGTCCATCTCAGTCAGGTGGGCAAGCCTACAACTCACACTGCTGGGGCCTAACTGTGCCCCGCACACCAAAGGTATTAGGCAGATGGGGCTCAATCATGTAACTGGCTTGGAGGGAGGCTGGAGCTCATTGCATCACAGCTCCTCAGTCTGTTGTCTCCCCCAGGAAATGCTGGTGTCTGTCAGCTCATAGACGGTGAGCATCTTGATGGGACTGACAATGACTTGTTTATCCTGCTGCTGTACTCAGAGCACACAGTATGTGCTCAGCGAATGTCCATGAAATAAAAGGGAGGGGCACCTGGGTGGCTCAGTTGGTTAAGCATCTGACTTCAGCTCAGGTCATGATCCCAGGGTTCTGGGATCCAGTCGGGCTCCCTGGCTCAGCGGGGAACCTGCTTATCCCTCTGCCCCTCCCCCTGCTCGTGCTCTCTCTCTCTTTCTCTCTCTCTCACATGCTCTCTCAAATAAAATCTAAATAAATAAATGGGAGTAGGGGCAGATTAATCAGGTGGGGGGCTATCTGCCAGAGCTCACAATGGAGATCTCTGAGGCAGGGTTTCTGAAACTCTAATGGAGAGCCTGCGGAGAAGAAGGAGGCTGTGGCTGGCCTTTCACACAACCTTCCCTCCAAATTCCTCCTGCCTCCACTTCTAGCCCCTGCTCTTTTATAGCTGCTTTTGAGATCTGAAGCGAACATGATCCAGACACCAGAAGGAGTGGGGAGGGAGGGAAAGATTAAAGAATAAATTTGACAAGTGGGGAGTCCAAGAAGGGGACCTGGACTCAGGCAGCTGGAAGGTTCCAGGTGCTGAACGTCACCCTCCTGAAGTCCTCTAACTCCCCCACAGCCCCTCCGGCCCGGCGGTGGCCTCTCTGGTTCTAAAGTCCTTCAGAGTTAGGATCTCCCCAGACCCACCCACAGTCCTCCCCTCAGCATTCTTCTGCAAGAAGTCCTACTTCCCCTGCCCCTGGACAGGTCCCCATCCAGGCCTAAGGAAAACTGGAAGCTTCTGCAACAATCCTTCCACCTGCACCCCTAGCCCTGTTTCACTACACCCACTTCTTTCTCCTTTACCCTTGGCCGCTGCACCCCAGGGAAATCCTCAGACCTGACCCCTGGAAAGCACCAGTCTCTCCCAGCTCTAGGCAGCCCGCTGAAAGAGAAGGCTCAGGGTAGTAATAATCCCAACACCCCAGAAGAGTTCAGTTTCCCACCAGTTCACTTCTTTGGGCCATCATGGCTGATGATCTGGCAGTTTCCAAAGCCCCCTGTACTACTTCCAGCACCCACACTCCTAAAAGATCACTGTAAGTAAGGGGCTTAGGACAGGGCAGCCTCAAGCCAAAGGGCTCGGAGTTGGGAGAAGAATCCAATTTCCCTTTGGGGTTTTAAGATCAGATGAGGAGATTTCAGAGGAATGTGAGGTCCTAAGGATGCTGGGGTGAGGAAGGAGAGAAAGGGGGGTAATCAGGGCTAAGTCATCTGCCATAGGCAAGAGGAAGCAATACAAAGGAAAGGGAGATGGTAATGGGAGGAGAATAAGGGGAAGGGCAAGACAGACGGGGGGGGGGGAGGTGGTGAAGTGGACACAACATACAGGGACTGTCCAGTCTTGATCCCTCCCCTCCACCAAGCTACTAGTGTGGACCCACAGCCACCTGTCCTCCTCCTCCCCCCTCCCCTCCTCGCCCTGGTGCCTACCTGAGGATGGGGCCCTGAAGGTGGCTCCTCTGCACAGGAACAGGATTTGCCATGGGAATCAAAGTGTCCTACTTCAGAGGATCAAAATGCCGCCCCAGGGGTCCCCAGGGCCCCCTGGGGGAATGACTCCCTCTTGGGCCCAACTTCCTCCTCCAGGTCTCAGCAGAACTGAGCTACTGACCAAAGAGAACTCTGGGGAGGGGCACAGGAGGGGCCTGGCTGGAGGAAGAAGGGAGTGATGAGACAGAGAGGCAGCACACAGCAACTGGGTGAGAGGCCACGGGAAAAGTTTCACATCTGAATCAGACGGAAAACAAGAATCTGTTCTCAGAAG